CTGCTGCCTGTAATCCTCTTGGACGATCCCTTTCTCAGCCTTCGGTAGCTTTTGTACAGGAAGGAGTTCATCAGTAATCTGCTGAGTACGCAGGGAACCTCGGTAGGCATCTGCAGCTCAGTCTCCGTGCGGCTCTCTCCTCTTCAGTGCACTGTCCTGTGAGCTCTTTGCCTCTTTGGTCTCCCTGGACTCTCAGCAACATCAGATGAACTCAGGAAGTCCTCGGGGCTCTACCTGGGTCCCCCCTCCCTGTATCGTGGCTTGAAAACTCTCTCGAGGCAATAAGCTCAGACAATTTATTGCTCTCCTCATTTGTTTCCCGTCCCTTTAGGATTACTGTCCTTCACTTCCTGGTGTCCAGAGTTTTTTTAAAAATTTTTTCAGTTGTTTTAGGCAGGAAAGTAAATCTGGTCCCTGTTACTCCAGCTTGGCCCGAAAAGAGCATTTTTAATGTTTATGTGTACATTCACATTGGGGCACTAATATTATTACTACTACTACAAATGTGGTTGGCTTTAATTTCCTGTGCTTTCTAATTGTCATTCCTCCCCCAATCCGCCGAATGTATATTTAATACACATTTGTCAAACTTAGGCTATAACTCCCTCCATTGTTGCTTTTGGAAACTGCTGGGGATGTAAAGGTGCTCAATAAATACTACTAGCCTATTATAGTAGTATGAACTTGTAAATTCTTTTCAGGAAATTCAGCACACACCATAAATTAACCATGTTAATTTAACGAAAAGCAAAAAGCAAAAGGGAGCATGGAACCAGGAATCTGGTAGACCTGGGCCTTTTATTGCAACAGGTTCCATCCAGGTTCATTCATTTCTGGAAGCTACACCCATGGACTGAATTTGGAGAAAGCAGTCAGGATTGTAGGGTGTTTTCATTCCCACTGTGGACAGTGTTCACATGGGAGAAACTGTTCACTCAACAGAGGGCTCTGCTTAGGAACCTTCAGGCCTGGGTCACTTTAGCAGCTGGGGCTCCACTGCTATCAGCTCTGTGTCCGAGGGGCCTCCACGTGCGGTTGTCAAGCAGCCCACAGAGCCCCCTGGAGCAGGGAAAGTGGGCCAGCCCACCAGGCAGCCTCTGTTCTGCTCCCTGGGCAGGGGGTGCAGAGGGCAGGTCTGCTCAGAGCCAGCTGGCTGCCTCCCACATGCAAGCCCAGCAAGACAGGCGAACTTTCTAGTTTCCATTCTCTGTGGCTGCACGTTCTCCCGTGTGGCTTCTGGGGAAAGCCAGTGCAGCTGGCACAAACAAACAGCCCCTCGACCCTGTTCTTGACATGCTGCTGCCAAAATTCAATTCGAAGGAATAAAAGGCAAACATAAACCCCAGCTCCTGCTGGGAAAGTTGTTTAAGTGAAAAGAAACCAGAGGGAATGAGCAGCCCAACTGCTCTCATTTATTCACACATTTCTGCTGTCACAGAGCAGGAAAGTCCATCCCCTCCCCTCCCCCAGAAAAAAAGAAAAGCTCTTCAAGACATCTGTCAACTCATTTCTGAAAAGTCAGCTTCCACAACTGGGATTCTGAAAAAGGGGGGTGTCCGGAGCACTGGGTTTAGTGACATCTTTTGCTGTAATGTGGATGCTGGCTGGGTGGGTGGCTGGTAACCAGGAGCCTGTGGCATGTTGCAGCTCAGTTCCCATCCACCCAGAACAAGGGTTTCGCCTTACTTCTGTCCTGGACCCTCTGCCAGGCTGGTAATACATATGGACACTTCTGAGAGCAATGCTTATAATTCATAAAATAAACTATATAGGACTGCAAAGGAAACCAATTAGACTGAAATATAGTTATCAAAATAATAAAAAATGTAAACTACAGTAATAACTGTGCTTCCTGAGGAACACAGGAATCCACAAGATCTAGTGCAGTTCTAGAAACTACCTTCCTTTCAAAGTAGTGATGGGTGCCCACCACCTTTCAGGGCTATCTGGCAAGTGATGAGAAAGTACATGATTTCTTGTGGTGACGGCATCGCAGGTGCTGTGCTGCCTGCAGTCATAACAGAAGGGAGCACCACATTTCAGTTAGAGGTCAATGAAAAAAGAAAGCCATGTTTTTCTCCTCTGTTTACAGACTCCCCTGAATTCTCTCTCCAGACCGCGGAGCTCTAGGTTAGGAAGCCGTCTCTCTTTCTCAGCTGTCAGGGAAGAGCACTGCGCTGGGGGACAAAGGGCTGGATCCTCATCCTGGCTCCACTTCTAATAGGAAAGACTCAGCCTTGTAATTCGTAAGCTGAAGAACGCGTACTGTCTTGCCCAGGCAGTTCTCTACCTGTAATGTTTCTCCCCCGTTCCGCAAAGCCCGGCTGGGGAGTCCCCTGAGGTTCCCAGCACTCTCTGCCAAGCACAGTTACTGGTCTTCTCACCGTGGTGCAATGAGCTCCGTATGCCCCTGTCCCGCCCCTTGCACAAAGCAGTAATAAGGGCTCATTTAGCACTTTGTTCTTGGTGTCAAGCACAGGGCCTGGCACACAGAAGACCATTAAGTATATACAGGATGGGGAAAACGTAGGTTTACAGTGGTGAGTACGTGAAACACAGTTTATTGTTGTATTATTAATTACTGTGTTATTTTCCAAACGAGCAACTGTAAACCTACGTTTGCCCCACTCTGTATTTACTGGATGAACAGATAAATGGCTGGATGAAAGCTGTGACCACACTCAGCTTCTCTCTCTCATTCTAAAAATATTTCTACTTTGTACCAGTTCTCAGCCCTGGTTACACATAAGAATTGCTTTTAAAGATTTTAGAAAATACAGACGCAGGCTGTATCCCCAGAGACTGAGAGCCCAGTGGCTTAGAGTGGTGTCCTGGCCTTTGTATGTTTTCAAAAACACCCCAGGCGCAGCCAGAGTTGAGAGCCCACAGTCCCATGGAACAGCTGAGGCGAGGGAATAAACCTCCCAGATGAACTTCTTTCCCAGAGCTGGACAGATGATGTTAGTGCAGAATTCTAAACTCTGCAAGGGGCTAAACTCATAAATTGAGTTTCTGACCCTCAGAGTCAGGTCACAGTTCTGAATCCAGACACATTAGCAATATCTGAGCTATATTCTCAGACTTGGATGAAAAAATTCTCAGGCTTGACATTGCAGACCATGAAACAAATTGCAAACCACGCAGGGGAGCACCCTGAGGTCCCCCGTTTCCTCCCCTCCCTATGAGAAATCCTTACGAAAAGGGCCCCATTCTGGGCAAGCGTGCACTTTGTAGGCAAGTTTCCTCACCTGCCAAGTGGAGATAATAGTACGGCCAACTCACTGTTGCAGGAACTGGCGGATGAAATGGGGCTGAAAGCATTTTGTGAGTAGCCGAACATGCTACCAAGATTAATTCTTGATTATTGCATTCTACCAATTGAGCTCTGACAGGTGGAGAGACCTTATAGCTCGGTGATTAAGAACACAGAATCCAGAGTCAGAATTTCCGCATACAAATTCTGGCACCAGCCCTTACCTGCTGTGTCATTTTAGGCAAATTATTTAACCTTTTTGTACCTCCATTCCCCATCTGTAAAATGGGGACAATAAAGGTACCTATCTTGTTGAGTTTTTGGAAAGTTTGGCCGAGTTGATGTACTGAAAGTGCCCAGAACACAGCTCTAAACCTGAAGTGTGCCTCAGAATCATCTGGAAGGCTTGTTAAAGCACAGAGTGCCGGGCCCCACCCCAGAGCTTTGGATTCAGTCGATCTGGGCTGGGATTTGAGAATCTGCATGCGGACAAGCTCCTGGGTAATGCTGGAGTCACTGCTTTGGGAACCACTGGCTTAGAATGATGCCTGGCATACAGTAAGAACCTTTAAGTGTTAACCGTTATTATCTTTTCCTGGGCTCTACGTTTTAGTCCCTGAACAGAACCCTTTATGCTCCAGTTCTACTCAGAACTATCTTCGTGGAGAAGCCAGCGTGAAATCTCCTTGCAGTGGTCCCCACAGTGTGGACCCAGCTCTGCTGCATGGGCATCCTGTGGGCACTTATTTGTAATGCCAGCTCCTAGGCCTCAACCCAAATCTAACGATTCAGGAATTACAGGAGTGAAGCTCAATATTCTGTGTTCTAACAGCCCTCCAGACTACTAATGCACACCAGTTTCAGGACAATAGCTCTACTAGAAAATCACATTACCACCACAGTAACCCTACTGAAAATGCCCGGGAGGCAGAAGACTTCCAGTCTAGAGGATAGTTTTTGGGTGGACTGGAGCCCAATACCTGGCTCAGTCCTTATTCACCTTGTGGCCTTATATGAATTATGACTTTAAGCCCAACCCGGCGAGGCTCAGAGGTTGAGCATCGACCTATGAACCAGGAGGTTACAGTTCTGTTCCCAGTTAATGAGGAAGGGAGGAGAGAGAGAGAGAGAAACATCAATGATGAGAGAGAATCATCGATCGGCTGCCTCCTGCATGCCCCACACCGGGGATCAAGCCTACAGTCTAGGCATGTGTCCTGACCGGGAATTGAACTGTGATTTCCTGGTTCCCAGGTCGATGCTCAACCACTGAGCCATGCCGGCTGGGAGCCACAGTTACCTTTATAATCATTACATATGTCCCCTCTCAAATGATTTGAGGTAGCTTATAACAAGACATAAATATACACAGGAGAGCTAAAATAAAGATTAAAAATAAGAAACACCACACACAGAAAGTGGAGAGTAAAGGCTGAAACTGTCGTTGCAATTGTCTTCTAAGTTGAGGTCTGAACTTCCCCATGGGCCAGAGTCCAAAGGAAATGCAGAGGTTCCCTGTTCTCACCATCTGAACACAGAAAGGTGACCGGCTCTTTTAGGGAGACATCATCATCCTCTGCCACAGCTGCTCTACATTCTAGAAGCATCGACCACACGAACCTTCCCACAAAGCCCCGTGTAACAGGAGGGAGACTCCTCCAGCAGCGCTTCATGTACCTGCTTAATTCTCAACAAGAGCCGAGGGCAAACTCCTTCCATCCCAGCAGATAAGAGACATTACACTTACTTTGGGTGCCGAATATCAGGGAGAGAGCGATTCAGGGAGATCTTATCGCTGACGTAGATGTTAAATCCATTTTCTCGGTATGCCTGATCCACTCTCTCAGCGTCCGTCATAGGATACGGTCTTCCTTGTTCTCCATTTCCTGGGAGCAAAGAGCAAAGTCAATGTTGCTAATTGAATGGCGTGGGGAAGAAGGATGAAGAATATGATTCAACCACAAAGATGAAATCGGATGCCGGATACAGTGTCCGTGCAGATTTTGCAGGGGGAAGTGTACAGAGGGGAGGGGAGTGAGCATTCAGTCACGGCTGAGTCACACACTTTATAGAGCTTGTCCTCATGTAATCTCCACAGGAAGCATGTGGGTGAACATGAGAGCCCTCAGCCTATCGATGGATAAACGAGGACCAGAAAGGCTATAAGCCAGGTCTGTGGGTTCCAAAGCCCATGCTCCCTCCACTCTGCCAGGAGCCCCAAATATCCCTGATCGGGAGGGTCTAATTGCCCAGAGGAAGACCAGGCTCACATATGAGCTGATCAATCCTGGGTCAGTCACACCACCTCTCTGACCGCAGCTGACTGGCTCTGGTACCCACAGCCTGGTAAGAGTCCAATAGATGCTGTGTAGGTGAGAGCTTTTTGTAAACTATAAAACACTATATAAATGTGAGGAAATGTCATGGTTATTCTCCAGGCAGGGCAAAGTTTATATGTAAGTCAAAATTGCCACAAACGATACAAGATGCTTTGAGTTTTTTAAAGCCAGCAAACAAATTAAGGTCTGCCCAGGCTCGGGCAGGACTGCTCGGAAAGTGTTGATGTGAGCCGCAGACTTGGTTGGATAAAGTGCGATTCTTTCTTTTCTCTGCATAATCCAGCTGGGGAAAGCGCTCCTGATGCTCCAGGAAATTGTCCTCAGGGTTCCCAGGATGCAGATGGGAGTAGGAATGTCCACACCGAGCCTGCAGGAACAGCCCAAGAATCTGACATTGCCGAGGGTCCTGAAGGAATGGCAGTAAGATCGGCTGGTCAGACAGGACCTCATCTTCTGGCGCTTATGCTCGGAGCATCGTCCCATGCAGTTTGTAAAGTGAATGTGGACAACATGAGCTTGATGGGGAGGTGCAAGCTAAGAGGTGGAGCCCGAGGACTGTGGCTACTCCAATCCTGCCAGATGAGGGAGAGGACTCCCCTGTCTGTATGACGCTCCAGGTAAAACACAGTGGGCCAGTGCCCGGGACGGGTTCCACAAGGGACTCAGATGCAGCAGAAGCAGCTCTCTCGGGGCGGGAGCCTTAGGAAGGCAGGATGGGGAGCAACTCATATTTAGGCCCTGGAGCGGGCAGGGTGGAAGCTGTAGTCCAGCTCTGTCACCCTGGGCGTGCCTTTCGCCTGTCTGTGTCTTGGTTGTCGCCTTTGAATTAATTGGGATAAGAAGGTTCAGTGTGATGATTAAGGAGGTAATGCAAGGCAAGGTGCTTGGTACCGTTAGCACTGGTCATTATTATTCTGAATAATTTCTCCAGGGCTTACTCCTTTCTTGCTAGTTAGGCCGGTGTGCTAATAACTCTGGTACAATTGTCTGGAAAATCGGCTCCTTTCAGATGTCTCCTTTTTTAATTTAAGCAGCCCTCCCCCACCCTAACTTCATTCTAAATTACTGGCACACGGAAAAATGCATGTCGCGTCCTTAGATTTCCCTGAATTTCAGTTATCATTTCAGCTCTATTCAAAGCCTGTTGTAATCTGGTTTTGTCATAATGTACTTTAAAAAAAATCAATAGTGGGTGCCTTTAACTGAGATAAAAATGAATAAAATACCAATCACTTATATTTCTACAGTGTTTTCCAGTGTAAAGCTACTTCGTACCAATACCCTGAGACTGTCGAAGCAGGAAGCATGAGCTCCAGGGACAGATGGGGAAACTGAGCTCAAGGACTATGGACTTTTACTGATGGTCACATGGCTGACAGGGGTGTCAGAGCTGCCCTCCTGACTCCTCGTCCAGGCTCTCTACAAACAACCCTCCACATAACTTCCCTTCCCAACTCCCCAGCGGTAACAGAAAATGCTCCAAAGATGAATTAGCCAAAAACGTTAGGTGAAGCCCAATAAATTCATTCAGCCTCGTGGCTGTAGGGCTGGTAGGGGTCAACTCTGCCCTCCAGACCTGGGTTCAAATTCCAAGCCTGCCTCTTTCTCACTGTGTGCCAGTGAGCAGATGACCCCACCTCTCTGAACTACAGGTCCCTTCTCATCCAATGGGCCATAAAGGTTGATGTGGGGATTCACCGAGAAAATGTGCCGTATGGAGCGTGAGCCGTGCTCACTGTAAATATTCATAAATGTTGGCTCTTATTATTACTGCTCCTCATTTTAGTGGTAAAACATCTCATAAGGGGGATACATTTTTTATCGCCCAATAAAAGTGGCAAGGCAAATTCCTGAAAGCAGTGGATCTGGTGATGTGAGTGGAGAAAGGACGGGGCCAGCTCACAGGTGAAGAGGGGATTCCAGAATCAGGGGAAGGGAGGGTGGAGGCTGGCAGATGGAGAGGAGCTGACAGGTGGTCCAGACACCCCATTAAACACACATACACACACACACACACGCACACACACGCACAAGCACACACAAGCTCACATGCATACCCTCTCCACAGGGCTACCCGTGGATGGTACCTCTCTCCGTACCTACACGCTGAGCATCCCTTCTGATGGCTTCTTTGTCATGCCAGTCCTTCAGCTTTTGTCCATCTCCCAAGAAAAATACCTTCTTTTGCTGATTGTGTGATCCCTTCAAAAAAGAAAAAGACAAAAACTGTGAAAAAGAAAAAGGGAAAATAAGTTTAATAACAGAGACCCAGAAATTACACTGCCCAAGGGAGCTTTTGGTATTGATTGAATGTCTGTCAACTGTTCATTTATTAACCCCCTTGGTATACCTCTGTTAGTGCCACCCAGGTACACAAAGGTCAGGGCGATGAGAGGCACAGTGTCTACCCTCTTAGAAGTCAGAAACCAGCAGGAGAAAAACCCAGATGGACAAACATTCCTTTCACTTGAGAAAAAGCAGTACGTGTGGCGCTGCCAAGAGAAATATAACAACAACACGAGTCACAAATGTGAGCCACATTTGCAACTTTACATTTTCTAGTATTCACATTGGGAAGAAAAAGAAACAGGGGAAGTTAGTTTTGATACTATATCTTATTTACCCCAATATACTCTATGTAAAATATTTCACCACGCAATGTAAAAAATTTATTGAGATACTTTACTTTTGTTTTTGTTTTGTACTAAGTCTTCACAATCCAGTGTGTATTTTACACTTGTGTTCATCTCGATTCAGGCCCCTTGCAAGTGCTCCATAGCCACAGGTGGCTGGTGGCTACCTCATGGATGGGGCAGGGCAGGTGGCCCTCAGATGACAGGCCTGCAGAAAGTGCTACAGGAGTTCACTTCCACCTGGGAGAACTGGAGAAGGTTTCGTGACATGAAGGCGTTTGGGCTGAGCTTCAGAGAGGCAGAAACGAGGGGCAGGCAGGGCAAACGGTCGGGGCACAGACTCCCAGGGGTGGTAGAGTCGCAGAACTAGGCCTGGCCGTGTTCATTTCTAAAGTTACAAGGAGAGTGAACATTGGGCGACTGTGTGGAATGTATGAACAAACAAGTTGAATGCTGAAAGGAAACAGGACGATGCAACAGCCCCCAGAGAGCAGCTCCCACGGGCCTGGCTCTGAAGCTGTTTATTATGCGTCTGGGAAGATGAGCCCATCCTCTGGGCCAGTGGTAGGCAAACTGTGGCTCTTTGGCCCTTGAGTGTGGCTCTTCCACAAAATACCACGTGTGGGCGTGCATGTACAGTGCGATTGAAACTTCATGGCCCATGCACAGAAGTCGGTATTTTGTGGAAGAGCCACACTCAAGGAGCCAAAGAGCCGCATGTGGCTCATGAGCCGCAGTTTGCTGACCACTGCTCTGGACCCATTAGAATCAGTTTCCCTAATTAAACGAGGCTGCATGCCAGTGCCTGAGGTCACCTGGAGGTGCCAGATGCTTTCCCACGCCCATGGAGAAGTCTAAAGACTCAGACCTTCCCAAGGTAACACTGCTTAGGTATCTTCCGTGATCCCTTGGATGAGATTGGCTTTCCACATCACCTTGCCCGTTAAAATTCCCGCATGACAGTCCTTGCCACTGTGACACGCAGAATCCAATAGTCCTATTTCCTATGTAATTAACTACAAAGGCCCTGAATGTGTGGTGTGCCGGAACGTCAGCCGTAGAAAGAAGCCACCGGGATAAAACAGTCCACATGCCTGTTTATTAAGTCCCTGGCTGATTCTTGAGTTAGCAGATTGTCTACAACAGTGCAATATCCTTACAACAGCTTTAATGATAATAACAATCCGTTATAGTCCCTCCTACAGGCCTCTCTGAGTTGCAAGAAGAAAATTCTGAAAGCTGGTGTGCCGGATGTCTTGGTCAGGGATGGAAAGAAAAGAAAACAGAGGCCACGGGCCCGCCAACAGTTCTTGGGGTTCACAGAAACCACAGAGGCTGAGCTGGAAGTTCAGCCTTCGGTGCATTTCAACTGTGCTGAGCTACATTTGAATGCCTCCGTGCTTCCTGGGGGAGAGAGGGCTGAGAGCAGGAGCGTGACCCTCCGTCAGTCAGACCAATCAGACCAGCAATGCATCTCTCTGTTTTCCGTACTCAGGATCTGGGTGGGATTTCATTTTAAAATGGTCCTCTGCTAAAAACAAAATTGACAACCAAATCTCCAGACAAGTGAACAAATAAATATACTTGGAAACTGAGCTAGGGCCACCTCCATGTTTCGCAGACAGGGAAACTGAGTCTTGGGGTGGGTCAGGGACCCGCCCAAATAAATATGTCTCAATGTCACAACTGACCGATTGTGAGCTATTTAGCAATTTTTCTCCAGCCCTCCTTCCCAAGGCCTTTTCCACTTTCTGCTACCCAAAGATTGGAACTTCAGTTGGTTACTTTAGGTCACTGGGGGAACCCAAGAGGCTCTGCAAAAGCCTGAACAGAAGATAGCAATTCGAAGTGATTCTCCAAGTGTGGTCTCCAGCACAGCAGCACTCGCACCACCTGGAGCTAATAGCAGAAGTTATGGAATGACTGAGGGGCTGGTTTAGGATAGAGAAGAAATTCCAGGAGGGAGAACCAAGATGGCGGCATAGGTTAACGCTGGAGTTTGCTGCCTTGAACAACTACTTCAAAAGTGAAACTAAAACACGGACCGGACATCACCCAGAACCACAGGAACGCTGGCTGAGTGGAAGTCCTACAACTAGGAGGAAAGAGAAATGCATACGGACACTCAGAGGAGGCGCAGTGCTGAAGTCAAATTCTGAGGTGCGGCGTGCGCGGAGCGGGCTGGCGGCGGAGGGCGCGGTTGGCGTTTTCAATGGGGAGGGAGTCGCAGACTCTGAGCTCCAGATACAGGCGAGTCTCTAGGGACCCAGACTCAAACGGGAGAAGCGGGACTGTCTGGCTTCGGTCAGAGTGAGTGCAGCTTTCCCTCCAAGGTCTGCAGTGGGTGCTGGGACTCAGAGAGGCAGAGCCCCTGGGGACAGGACTGAGAGCCGCCATAACTGCTCTCTCCGGCCCACCCTGTTGATCCTGTGCGACCCGCCCCGCCCAAGCCCTGCACAGAGCCATTTGTTGGATAGCCTCAGGCAAAGGCTAGATTAGCACCTCCCTAGAGGACAGAAGTTCTCTCACTGCAGACACAGCTGATTCTCATAGCCACTTGGCCTGGAGGTCAAACCCTCCCTGGTATTAGCTACAACAATCAAGGTTTAACTATAAGATTGCACACAAAGACCACTAGGGGGTGCACCAAGGAAGCATAACAAAATGCGGAGACAAAGAAACAGGACAAAATTGTCAATGGAAGATATAGAGTTCAGAACCACACTTTTAAGGTCTCTCAAGAACTGTTTAGAAGCCGCCGATAAACTTAATTAAGCATACACGGACTGAAATAACGAATATTATACAGACTCCCGACAGCAGACCAGAGGAGCGCAAGAATCAAGTCAATGATTTGAAATGCGAGGAAGCAAAAAACACCCAACCGGAGGGGCGGAATGAAAAAAGAATCCGAAAATGCGAGGATAGTGTAAGGAGCCTCTGGGACAGCTTCAAGCGTACCAACATCAGAATTATAGGGGTGCCAGAAGATGAGAGAGAGCAAGATATTGAAAACCTATTTGAAGAAATAATGACAGAAAACTTCCCCCACCTGGTGAAAGAAATGGACTTACAGGTCCAGGAAGCACGGAGAACCCCAAACAAAAGGAATCCAAAGAGGACCACACCAAGACACATCATAATTAAAATGCCAAGAGCAAAAGACAAAGAGAGAATCTTAAAAGCAGCAAGAGAAAGAAACTCAGTTACCTACAAGGGAATACCCATACGACTGTCAGCTGATTTCTCAACAGAAACTTTGCAGGCCAGAAGGGAGTGGCAAGAAATATTCAAAGTGATGAATGCCAAGAACCTACAACCAAGATTACTTTATCCAGCAAAGCTATCATTCAGAGCTGAAGGTCAGATAAAGAGCTTCACAGATAAGGAAAAGCTAAAGGAGTTCATCACCACCAAACCAGGATTATGTGAAATGCTGAAAGGTATCCTTTAAGAAGAGGAAGAGGAAGAGGAAGAAAAAGGTAAAGATACAAATTATGAACAACAAATATGCATCTATCAACAAGTGAATCTAAGAATCAAGTGAATAAATAATCTGATGAACAGAATGAACTGGTGATTATAATAGAATCAGGGACATAGAAAGGGAATGGACTGACTATTCTTGGGGGGGAAAGGGGTGTGGGAGATGTGGGAAGAGACTGGACAAAAATCGTGCACCTATGGATGAGGACAGTGGGGGGGTAAGGGTAGAGGGTGGGGTGGGAACTGGGAGGAGGGGAGTTATGGGGGGGAAAAAAGAGGAACAAATGTAATAATCTGAACAATAAAGATTTAATTAAAAAAAAAAAAAGAAATTCCAAGTGCTAAGATCAGTGCTAGGATGAAACAGGACCATTTGGAAGATGTTAGAAGAGGCCAGGAATAGGCTGCTCAACTGTTCATCAGGGCATGAAGGAGGAAATCAAGGGCTGGTTAGGCTAGTGCTGCTCACATTTTATGTGCAGCAGAATCCCGTGGGGATCTTGTTCAATGCAGGATCTGATTCAGGAGGTCTGGGTGGGGCCTGCGATTCTGCATTTCTAACAAGCTCCCCGGTGATGCTGATGGTGCTGGCCCATGAAGCACACTTACGTGACCTTTAAAGGACATTTTAAGAGTCTAAGTTTCCATGAAGGGCACAGTTTCCTCCGTATCCTCTTGTGTGAAAGTCTTCCCACACGGCTGGGAATGGGACACGGGGTTGAATCTCACAGTTGTGACCTCACAGAAGCAAACTCCTTAAATCTTGTTCTCAGGATGAGCAGTGAATTGCTGAACTGACAGGGTAGAGAATTAAGGTCCCCAAATTCTAGAAGTTTCACACCCACGGCTTCTACCATCTCCACTATTTTTGCCTTAAAGATGTATGTCCCTCTGGGATGATCTGCAGAGAAGATCTGTGCTGCTTAGGTGGTATCATGAGTCCTCCCATCATCCCTAAAGTAAGAGACCTTAGAGCTTGCTGACACAGGGGGGTTCTGCATGTCTAAACATGTAGTAGTAGAGGGTCCTCTAATATCCTAGCTAAGCAGCTTCTCAGAGACAATTAGCCCTTCCTTCCTCATCTTACAGATGGGGGAACTGAGGCCC